ACACAAAATCTTGTATTCTGTCACTTCTACTGCAGCATGAAAGTAATCTAAGTTATGAAAGTTTAGCTCTAAAAGTACCTTATTGCCTTAGTTACTTGGCTAATAGTTTTGTGTGTGTGTGTGTGTGTGTGTGGGCGTTTTTTTCTCTCTTTTTTTGGGGGGGGTGGGGGGTTGTTATTCTCAGCTAAAGTTGTGGTTCAATTAGCAATTTCTGGGCTTATCCAGGCAGCTGTGCTGTTACACCCTTCATTGGTCACTGTGGATGACATCAAAGGTAAGATTTCTACTGTTTGACATTTCAAATATGTTTTGTCAGTTTCATAGCTTATTGGTTGTGTTGAGTGACATAAGATGATCCCTGAAGAGATTTTAAGAAAGAAGCACTAGTTGAACTCATGCAAAGTTTCTTATATTGGCTTGTGAATAGAAATTCCATTTTCTCCGTGGAATACTACCAGCAGGTTGTAGATCCAAAGCATTTTAGTTGAAGAGACGCTTGAAACTTTTAACCCTTTAGTTAGAGATACCATTAGCTAAAGCACTGACTGACATAGCCCAAAATACTCAATTTTCTAAAAATCCAGTTTCATTAACAAGTGTCTTGCTTTACTTTAATATTAAATGATCATTTGGAATTTGCAGGTGTTAACGCTCCCACTGCAGTGCTAGGTGCTGAGATCGACCAAATGTCTCCACCTGAACTCTTAAAAAAGTTTGAAGAGGTTTTGAATGCTAAACCTGAGGTAGGATGTTTAATTTTACTTGCATCCATAATTAGCTGTAATCTGGCAGCCTGCAGGCGCTTGTTCCCATGACATGATGGTACATCAAAGTTCTTCATCTTGGTCATGTTCTGTTCTCTATTTTCAGTTCTAGAATTCAACTTGGCATTTGTAGATAGATACTTCCTTCCGGGTTGAGAATTCAACTCAAAATCTTTTGAAACTTCATAGAATCTGATACAATTCAAATTTAAAATTAAAAGTTGATGTTCTTCATGGTGGCTGCCTTCAGCTCAGCACCTTTATGTCCTTCTTGCATGCCATAAAACCGTTACAAATGGCATTCTCATTCTCATGAACAACTTCTCAGGTTGGAAATAACCCATTCATTAATCCCTTATAGGTTGATGGCTATGTGAAGATATTTCCTAAAGTTGCACACGGTTGGACGGTGAGGTATGATGTCAATGATGAAGCAGCCATGAAGCCTGTGGAGGAAGCTCATGCAGATATGTTGGACTGGTTTACCAAGTATGTCAAATGAGACACTTACCATATGATGGAGTTGTTCATTACTCTGTAGACTATTTTGGAGTTTCTGTTGTGCTTGTGTATGTGAAGAACAAAGATTGAAAATCTGATGCATTTGCACTTTATTCATTTTGTGTGAGATTAAGCATATGCTGGATTAATGATCCCATAAGTGGATGGATTTGCCATTTTGCATTATTTGAAACTAATGCATCAAAATTCCCCTGGCATGGGTTGTGCATGGAACTGTATCTTTAGGTTTTGCTGAGAAGGTCACGGCAAACACCTCGACTATGAATGAATCATGTCTGGATTTCCTGCTACAACAATGATATTGATTCATATTTTAGTGCATTGATTCTCCACCAGAACAGATGGTAAATTCCAAGCAGGAATTAGAATTTCTCCTTAGGAATCATCTTTGTCAAATCTTGGGTTTTCCATTCTTGTAATGCAGGTTTTTACAACTCTTCATAAATTATGGACATGCGATCTTGCCTTTCAATTTTTATTTTCTTTATTGAAGTCCCTCAATGTCAACAAGTAAGAATGATCATTTAGTGCAACTGTGCAAGAAGAGGGAGCCTGGAGAGCAACATGGGAGGAGTGTTCATATTGTTAAATGTTGTCTTGTCCCTTCGTAACTTATTTAATTTTGTTCTTTTTATTTTTTTGAAGCAATTTTTTGTTCTTTTTATTGATTTTTTTAATAAGGCAATTAGGATACAACTAAATATTAGGGAGTAGAGGATTAATGTAAATTATCGATTCAAAGATTTAAATACTACACTGAACCCTTACCACTAAGCCATGAATGTGATTGACTCTTTTTGTTGAGATTCATTTATTGGTATGGGGTGATAATATACTACCAATGAATTATAAGTCCTCCTGTCATGGCATATTATGGATTCCAATGACATTATCATTGTATCTGGTAACTAATAATGAATTAGGGTTCATCATGTTAACATGTACTCTCATGGAACAAATTAATTTCTTTTATATTTTAAAGTAGATAAATATTTTTTTTCTACTTTAATAGTATCATTATCACTTAAATTTAACTATTGATCTTATTATAAAAAGTCTCCTTTTATCTTATCTCTTAATATTAGAGTCTATTTATCATCAATCAATAATAATAGCAATTTTTTAACTTGTACTTTTTTAACTTGTACTTTAAGGGTATATTTATTGTACTCTTAGGATATATTTATTGTATTTTTTTACTATTAATTTATATAAAAAAATAAAATTTAGCTTAAATTTTATTAATTGTTTAATTAAATTCTTTCATGTAATATTAGTGTTAAAAATAAAGTTTATATTTGTAATATTTTTATAAATTAATAGTAAAAAGGTTATTAAAATCTATATAAGAGAATAGTTAAAAATAACTCATGCTATATGAGGAAAAATTTATTTATACATAAATTTTATATATTTACACAAAATCTTGATAATTTATTTTTTCATTTGTAATGGTTGAGATCTATAATAATTTTTTACTTAAAAAATAATCATCTATAATAAATATAAATAAATTTGAACTATTAAAAATAAACAGATAAATAATAATTTTTTTTATAAATATAATTTATAAAATTATATACACATAGTGTTCGGGAGTATTGGTGATGTAAGTGGATGAGTCAATAACGGTGATGATGTGAAAGCTGACTAGGATGACACCCAAGAAAATGGGTGGGGTTCTTTCGGCGACACCCGTCTCACATGCGGAAGGTTACATGCTACGGGTCATCCCACTCTGTTAGACAATGGTGTCTTGCAGTGAACTCTCCAGCGAAGCTTTTGAAAAGATAAATTTTCTAGCCAAGCCGGTGGAGTTGGGCAACAATGGCGGGATTCCAAGGATTCAAGATGATTACACAACTATCAAAAACATGATGGGCAGAAGTTGTATGTTGCTATGGAAGGGCCGCAAAGATGGAAAATACATGTGATTCAAAGATTATAACTTGAGAATCACATTCATACATAAATCATTGTAACATGATAATAATGACAATAAATGTGACCTCTTTCATCCTTAGTGTATATATTTACTCTATAACAAACAATCCTTATATTGCAAATGAAAAGTGCAGCAACTCTACTCTTGAAACTCTTCCAAAGATAAAAGGATAAACTTGAGAGTGGTGATGGGAGAAGGAAGGATAACCGCTTGGGAGCTTACGAATGGAGCACTTAATCCCATTTTTAATGCTAACCTTGTAACCTTGATCGTCTAGTGCTCAAGAAGAACTACCCGAAAGCTGAAGCTGCAGCATGTTCTTTCCCAGCCATAACATCCTACAAACCTCGAAATGTTCTGCGATGTTGGGTGATATTCTGCAATGCTGGAAAATGTTTTGCAAAGCTGGAAAATGTTCTGCAGAGTTAGAGACACAAGAAATCCGAGAAAATGGTGATTTTCGAATGGTTTCAGCGTGCAAGGTGGGAGGTTGAAGACAGAATATTTTTAGAGGAAAAATGGGAGTTTTGGTGAGTGAGGAAAAAGGGCTGAAGTTAGGTGTGTGAATATGTTTTTGTGCTGCATGCGTTTATATATTCTGAAAAATGAAGAGCAGATAATTTATGTATATATATATGTAGTGGTATTGTTGTAGTTTCGGGTTGATGGCTTAGAGGTGTGCAGATAGGTTTGGGTGAGTTGTCGAATTTTCGATGGCTCCTGGCACTGTTGGCAACTCTTATGACAGTGGTATCATGAATTGCCCAACGGTTCCAACAAAGCTCTGTTAGTTCTGGCGAAGAACTGGAAATTGTATATTTCTAGCAATGCCTCAAACCATACGAAATCTCATCTTTAGGGAGGTGCTTGAGTGTAGCTGGCAAAAACAACATCTGCATAGGATTTGCTAAGTTCCCCAAGCTCTGCACGAGATTTTGGGAGATTCTACAAGCAAATGGTAATCTTTTACAACAATTTCCAAGGCCATAGAACTTGTGTAGCGTCCCTTGCATTAAATATGGCTGCAAGTTGCTGATGTTGACCAAGACTGCATCTCTAGTTAATTTTTAGTGGGATTTCTAGCCTTCGGTTAGCATCAAACGATATTGTTCAAGGAATCAAGTTCATTTCCATGTCTTCGCCACCTAACCCCTTTCTGGCGAAGTCAGGCAGCATCATCAGCGCCAAACTTCTCTTGCGCAAATGCCTTGTTTTATTAGACGGGCAGCGTTTATCCATCCATGCCTGCTAAGCCACTACTCCCATAGTTTATCCCGAATAATTCCCATGAGTTTGGATTCATGGGTTTGTGTTTATTTGCAACAACAACAAAGCACATGTGAATATATGTTTAAGTATTTAAGCATAAGAAACTTACAAATATATGCAGCGAAGAAGGGAACACCCTTGTGTATTAAAGGGGGTTATGTGGATGAATGTTCACTGCTCCCATTTGCTTACTAGCCATGGCAAGCGTCAATATATTGCTGTCATACATGACTGGCATTGTGCCAGAATTAGGAACAAGTGATATGGGTGTGTATTGCGACAACGTCGTTCAAAGCCAAGCTTCGCTAGTCGGTTGGCCGACGAAACTTGCTGACATGTAAGACATAGAAATTATGTGTTATGAGTCGAGATTACCGACAATCAGTAATTTTGTCTCTTTGTGTAGAAAAGTTACAATGAGCATGACCTTCGGCCATGTTATGTATGTATTGTGGGGTCA